CTGTGGATGCAAATCAACTATGTGGAGGACCTTACTAGGCAAGGTAGGTGCCTATGGTACATGTTTATGAACGGTTTTTTTGCAAATACTTGCCCGAGGGCTGATTGCAGTTACAAACTAGAGTTCCGCGATCTCATACCTTCGCCAAATGATGTTACCCTTTAGTCTTGACGAATGTTGACAATTCGCATTAACTATGCAAATTAGGCATTCATTTGCATAAACACCATCTGCCAATGTTCTTCTACTTCACAATTACGCATGTCACACGTTTGAATAATCATATCATGGAAGGTAGCAGATTTGTAGCATTTTCCTCATTAATTATGCTAATCAGCTGCTGATTTGCATAACTATAATTTTAATATGTCAATCATTCTTTAAGGTACCCACATACCAAAAATCATGATGATCCGTCAATCGGTTCTTGAGTTATCCTCCTTCGAATATTTTTCAACGAATGCTTCTGCAGTTCCAGAACAAGCCGCTAGGGGGTCCAAACTCATGTCATTTCTTCCCCAGTCAAAGAGCTACCTACCATCCCAATTTAGTGAACCTATTATGTCCAGATCATGAGATATCAAAACCGGAAGTTCAGCTGCAGTACCATAACAAGCCGCCAGGGCGTCCAAAATCTAATCAATTCCACGTCTCATGAAGACCTACCCACCTACCAAATATCAAGACAATCCACCTTAGCCTTCTTGAGTTATCGTGCTCACACACACACACACACACACACACACACACACACACACACACACACACACACACACACACACACACACAGACACACGAACGCCCCTGAAAACATAACCTTCTTGGCGAAGGTAACAAGTAAAATCTGAGATTTTATACCTCCTGGCTTTTTATTGTGTATTATTATATATTGTTTCTTATGAATAGTTGATGGTGTTAAATTTCATGTGTTAGATTTCCAGGTTGTGTTAACACAGGTCAACATTTTCATCTGCAGCTTATGACATGTACCCATGAACTTATAAAATTCTGTTTTATCTGCCGCAAGGAACTCGTAATGAAACTCAGAATGACAACCGGAACCGTTAGATCAGACGTTAAAAATAACCGGTAATCAATGTTACGACATACATTCCTGAGGAAGCAAAACCCTGGCACATGGTGCGTATCCACAAATGTTTCGATCGTAAATATAGTGACTGGAGTCCGAAATGTCACATACAGAAGCTTGCTGCTTATAGTACATGTACGTCAAACATACAAGGCTTAACAAGAAGTTGTAGTAATATAGGCACGTATGCAAAAGTTTGCATAAGACTCATTTGCATACTTGTGACTCGCTACCTTTACCACACACCACCACCCCCACTTCCGGGTTCGATCCAACTAAAAAAAACACCATAAATCCGCAAAGAATTATATGTTTTATTTATTTATTTATTTATTTGGCTTACAAAGAAGCCAGGGTGTCCCAACTAGTCAGAGACTATTATTAAGGGACACCCTGGGGAGTAGAAAGAAACGTTATACATACATAAAAATACATATTACAATCCAAATACAATAAGAATAATATGTGCTTACATTTATGAAATACATATTGTTTAAGTGGTAGAGTCCAAGTATTTACAAAGTTGCCGACTCGGAGATAATATGTACAACTGTTAAGTCGGGAGGTGACACAAATGTGATGTGTAGTTAAGTAGAATATGGATCCCCGAAGGATTTCCATGCTTTAGCTTTAAAAGAAAACAGTGTAGGGGCCGATTGAATGTCAACTGAGAGGGAGTTCCATAGGAGGGTGGCTCTGTGGAGGAAGGCATTCTGTGTTCTGGAGCTTTTGGGGATTTGTACACAAAGATTATTTCCATTTCTGAGGGGGTATCTGGAGTGTATGGCGGATGTCCTGGTAACAGGTAATAAACTAGCTAGGTGGGGCGGGCAGTGACCATTCTTCAATTTGTACAGAGTGGTTACTGCGTGGACCTTACGACGGTAAGTAAGTGAAGGGAGGGCAAACTGAGAATAGAGAGATTTGTGAGAGGGATAAGGTATCCCGTGGTGTCCACTTATCACTCTGGCTGACCGGTATTGGACCGATTCGATGGTCTTTTGATCACGCATGGTGAGACCACCCCAGACGATGTCAGCATATTCTAGAACTGGTCTGACAATGATTTTGTACAGTTATAGTAGTATGGTCTTGGGCACCTTTTTCCGAAGGGCGCAGAGCATTCCAGCAGTACGTCTTGCCTTGTTTGTCATGGCTTCGACGTGTGCAGACCAGGTGAGTTTACTGGTTAGGGTCACACCCAGGTGTTTGTGACTGTGGACAATCTGTAAGGTGGTACCGGCTAAGATGACCGGGGGGATCCTTTGTGGGAGGGGGCGGGTAGTGAGAAACATAACTTTACATTTGTCCCTATTAGCCTCTAGTTTCCAGTGTTGTAGCCACTCGGAAACTGTTGCCAGATCTGTGTTCAGTGAGTCTACAACTGTGTTGATGGAACGGTGAGCTACAGTAAGAGAGGTGTCATCTGCGAACAGATTCGCCTCACATGTTGTACATCTAGAAGGTAAGTCATTAATGTATAAGATAAAGAGTGTTGGGCCTAAGATAGAACCCTGGGGGACGCCAGCAAGGGGTGTCTTCCAGTCGGATGTTGCGCCGTTGACAACCACCCGCTGACGTCTATCTGTAAGGTAGCTGCAAAACCACTCTAGGAGGGACCCACGGATTCCGTAACCTGCTAGTTTGGCCAGAAGACCATGGTGCCAGACTTTATCAAAAGCCTTTCGCAGATCCAGAAAGACGCAACCAACCACCTCTCCTTTGTCCATAGCTTTTGTCCATTCGTCCACAAGTCGGACCAGTTGGAGAGTAGTGTTGTCGTACGCTCGAAATCCGCTTTGGTGTTTTGTCAGCATTGGGCGAATGTGGTCATTTAAACGTTTGTTTACAAGGTTTTCCAATACTTTGGGGATACTGTTCAGAAGTGATATTGGCCTGTAGTTGTTGAGGGCATGACGACTACCTCCTTTGTGAATAGGTGTCACGTTTGCTTCCTTCCATCTGGAGGGGACTTGCCCGAGTGAGAGCGACATGTTAAACAGGTGCGTTAAGGGTCGAGAGATGGAATCCGCTACCCGACGCAAGAGGTTAGGAGTAATGTCGTCTGGGCCGCAGGACTTTCCAACTTTAAGGCTGAGAAGTTGCTGGCGGACTTCGTCCACTGTTACCTGCAGTGACTCCAGGAGTGTTTTAGGAGAGACGGGTGGGACAAAAGGCAGAAGAAGGATCATCTCTGCCGGGTAAGTCGGTCTGCTGGACAAAAAAGTCATTAAGTGCTGTAGCCTTTTCTCTAGGTGAGTCAAGGATGTTATTTCCCAGTTTAAGTGCTGGAACGCCAGTAGAGGCTTGTCCTAGAACTGTCTTGGTGTACTTGAAGAGGCGTCGTGTGTTTCCGCCTTCGACGTCTTCTAGGACTTCCTTGAGGTAAGTGGCTTCAGCTCTTCTTGTTAGAGCAGTGACTAGGTTTCGTTGGCTCCGGTAGGATGACCAAGCTTCTGCCGTGTTCTTCTGCTTGGCTTTAGAGTGTAGGCGATGTTTTTTACGGATCGCACTTACGATTTCTTTGTTGCCGTTAATCCAGGGTTTTGCAGGTTTTGTGTTGGGACAAATTTGTGGGGAATATGCTTTTTACAGATTGAGAGGAACATATTATACCAGGAATCCCATACATCATCCATTGAATCATAGTCAAAGTTTAAATTCCACGGGGCATTATTAATGTTTTCACAGAGTGTTTCGAAATTTGCTTTTTGTACAACCAGACAAGCCTCTCCCACAGGGCCGTGTAGCTTTAAAATTTAATATAGCAAAGGTTGACAAGTGGTCCGAGTCCCCGAGGGGTGCCATGGTGCCGGATTGGTTGCACATCGCTGGGTGGGAAGTGATGATCAGGTCTAGTAGGTTGCCACCACGGGTAGGCTCGTGGATCACTTGCTCTAGCCCGTAGTCCAGAAGGATGTTTTCCAGCTTACGTCCGGCATTGTCTGTGGTGTTACTACTCAGCCAGTTACTGTTCTTAGAGTTAAAGTCTCCCAATAGAAACTTAATAGACTGAGTATAGCTTGTAGCTCTATGTAGCTGTGAGTCAAAGGTATCAAAAAAGGTATCGTCCGCTGAGGGTGGTCTATAGGTACAGTTAATAAGGAGACTAACATTAGATTTTGTTATGCTTTGCTACATGTAGCTTTGCTACATGTTACATGTCCACAAAAAAAATGATAGCGGACATGTAGTGTCCTGGAAACTGTTTGAATCTATAGAAAAGTGTTGTTTTTTATCTGTTGCGAGTCACTCAGGCAGAAGGGCTTGTTTTGCCGCTTTATTGTAAATGACCGCATGTGACCCCGAAATGGAACGCGGGTTCGATTCGAATCGCCCAGATCGAACACGATCGAACACTGTTCGGATTCTATGAAATGTGGGAACTTTACAGCCCAGATTTTACCACCGTGCGAACTATCGGCCATTCAAGTTTGAACAGCTGCCCATCCGATGGTCCATTTACTGTGGAAAAAAATAGGTTCAAACTTACCAAACAAGTTACTTCTTTAACTTTCTTTCTGTATTTTTAAACCTACTTCAAACTTACGGGTCTTATCAAACAAGTTGCTTCATCTTTACCTGTCTTCTATATTTTTTAGCCTACAGTTACTTTCGAACTATCTTAATAGATTGAAACAAACAACTAATGAAATCTATGACAGGCGAAGTTTATTTATCATTATTATTATTATTATC